AGTCTATCGTAGGAAAATGCGGTCTTATGGTGGTGCCCTTGAAGGACAAAATGGGGGGGGGCAGTTGCCTACGGTAGCAGGGTAGTTTGACAACTCGGCGGGGGGGGGGGACGGAGGGAGAGACAAAAAAAAAAAAGACGCAGGGCCCGAGAAATAAAGGGCAAATTCAAGAGAGCAAAGGAGAAGGGGGGGGGGCTGGACCTCGATATCATATAAATATGATAGGGGCATGATATGAGCTGCCTCCAGTCACTGTAAGAGTATCATACTGTACGGGTATCATACCATGGAGCCTCTGAACCTTCTGTCTCATTCCCATCTTGCAACCTCCCGCCCACTCTCATTGCCATTCCAATGCCGCATAGCATCGAGCACAGCAACTTGCATAGACAATAATATTCACTCCTCAACCTATTGGCCCGCAACCAAGAACCCTCTGCTGCCCCGACAACAACAAGCTCAACCAGCGACCAGGAAGGCAGCTGCGAACCCACCGTACAGTGCCCCACCACCACCACTCGAGTAGCACACGGTTCCGGTAACTTATCATATGGAGAGCGAGGGGCCTTGCCAGAGTTCTCGCTGCCACCAGTTGGTCAAAGGGGTTTAGCTCGGCCACTTAGGCCCCTCGAGAGGCAATGTAACGTGAGGCGACTTGGGCGCGTGAGTCCTCTCGCCCGCAGCATGATACAGTAACGGTACAATCCGCCTCCTGATCGTTAGAGTCACCTTAAAGGGACGAGCACCCAAAATTCCTGCCATATTTTGGCGATCCGTCTTGGATAGAGGGAGCTCTACCGGTACGGTAGGTTGGCATGGCATCAGATGGAGAGCACCGTACCGCACAGCACTAGTACTTGTACCATGAATTGCGATAGGAATTGCGTCAAGGGCATAAAATGGACAAAAGAATTGAGCAAAAAAAAAAAAAAAATGGGTTAAAAGCTATCATAAAATCAAATTAGCCACTACAAGTACCACCAACATCCATCACCCTGCCCTCGTCGCCACAGGAGCGAGAATCACTCAACGCAGCATCACCATCACGTCTCCGGAGGCAACCCTTTCTTTCCCCATGGGAATGTATCCATGAGCCGCCAATATAAACTACGAGTGCCATACCAGTACTCGAGTACTGTACCGTACGTTAACGCTCAAGATACAGTGCTGCAGGGATATGCATGGCAGTCGTTCCTTACGGGCAGGCACCCAAAAGGAATAAACTTAATACGTCATAATCCAAACGATCATACTGGTATCATAGTACGGTATTGGGGTAAACAGAAGCACACCATCATATCATACCACCACACCACCAAAAAAGAACTCGCCCATACAGTATGTTGAGGAAATAAAAGCATTTGCTGCACACAGCACCATCAAAAGACCATTGGCCCTTGCAACACCCCGGGACGCTCGCCATCACCCCAACTTGTACCTTACCCGCACCGCCCTGCACCGCACTTTGTGCCGTTCGTCAACAGCACACTGGCACCCAACACAACTCGAACACCCGTGCGTGCACGAGTACTTGTACTCGAGTACCGTATCATACGAGTACACTACCGTATTGGCACTGTACCACCACTTGTAGCACCCCCACGGCACGTTCCGCAAAAACACGACGCCGCACATCACTGTGCCCTTTGCTCCACGGCTTCCCGCCTACCGTACTCACTTACTTACAGGTACAGACACCGTAGCCACTACACAAATCCCCGCGCTTCACACCCGAAACACCCACCCGGCCCGGTACTCGTAATATCCCCATCCCCCCTGAGTCCTCGACTGAGCGGGGAGATTCCCTCGTGGAATTTTTCCCCGCGAACTGACTTGGGAGTTGGGTGTGCTCGGGGGAGTGCCGGTTTGTCCGCTTTTGTCTTTCTTGCAGTGGGGGAGGTGTCAGTGCGGTAAAGGGCCGGTACAAGTACAAACGCAAGTGCGGCACCCGTGTTTCTGCGGGAGGGAGGAGGGAGGGTGAGCATTCGACCCGAGGTGGTGCCGATGTTGTTGTGACGATTGTGTCGAGTGAGTTTGTGTGACATGACAATGAGGATTGAGGTGGCTTGGAACGCGTAAGGGGGGGTACCGTACCGTACTGTAGGGGAAAGTCTAGCGGATGTGGCTCACAGAATTTGCGTGGCGTTGGCAGCCAAGTCTTCTGCAGACTTTCCCCTCTGGTGCCCCCTTGCACTGGCGCTCCTGTGCACTTGCACCATAGTCTACCCGTACGAGTAAGTTGGCAGGTAAGAAGTGCCTGTGCCAAAAAAAAAGCGGGGAATTACGAATACGGTACCGTACTGGGTACCAGGTATACGGTACTGGGAAAAGCGAAAAGTTCGTGCACGCCCGAGCCCCCCACACAAGATCAACACCCTTGTTTTCGGACACCTCTCGTCAATCATGAGGACAGTACCGGTGCTTGTACTTGTAGAGTACAGTGCTTGCGCGGTGCCCGAGTACTGTCCGGTAGGATGCAGTCCCGTTCGGGGTTGTTCGGAGGAACGTCTCAAGTTCAGCATGGTTCCAGGGATTTCCCCATTCCCCAAAAATCCGCCTGTATGCTCGTGGCCCTCGGGAACCCCAGTCCAAGTGAGGAAGGGGATTTATGTCCACCCAGTCCAACTGGCCTGGCTGCGCCTCTATAAGGAATGGTTTTTCTGGCTTGGCCAACACAAAACTTTCCTTTCGCCAACCAAACTCGGCGTCCAGAGAAGCACTACCTAGCACTTGGTGACGAAATCACGTATGGCACGTCGCACTTTTGGTCGAGGAGGGGGGAGGGGACGGGATTATTTGACGGAAGTTTTTTTTGCTGGGCCAGGGTTGGAGTGCAATTTACCCACACTTCATGTCGTATCACTCGGGATATGGTTTGGGATGCAGGGATTTGTGATTGGTGACAGGTGTCATATGATACCGGTACAGTGGTAGACGTAGTGAGAGTTGCGGGCAATAGTGGGGGGTGGACCAAAAATATTTGGGAACCAATGATATGACATTTCTATCTGCGTTTCCGATACCGTATCGAGGAACCTGGCAAGGTCGAGTCTTCTTGCTGACGCGAGGCGCCGAGAGCTGGACACTCGCCGTGCAGGGAAAAAATTGCAGCTCGAGAGTCCATGGTGGGTGATGCGTTCCCAGGAATCCAGTACCGGTAGTCGGAATATGTGCAGCAGCTGCCCGCCGAGGTGTAGTCGGATTCCAACACCACCTGCCTTCATAAACTCCCTCCACTCACAAAAAAACCCCATTGCCTCGAAAACCAGCTACTGACACCGCATAAAGTGAGCACAAAATACCTACCTGCCGGTATTTGGAAGAGAGCACCCCGGCGGTGCGACACCGGCGATGTCATCATCCAACACACGATACCCCTCCAAGGCGGCGGTAAACCAGCGACCCGAAAGCCCAAAATCCGGATCGCTGTTTGTCTCACAAATGAGAACCCCAGTCCTGTCCCAACAACTTAATCCCAAGCCAAGATCCGATCGCAAACCCCCAACCACGGACGAGTTGCGATGTACAGGCACAAGGCCATCCAATAAGAACCCCGCCCTCAACCCCCCCCCCCCGCAGCTCGGTGACCGGACGACCCAAATAACTAGTGTGTGCCAGGTACACTTGCTATAATACGAGTGTGGCCAGTGGGCTGTGGAAAGTGCACCTATGCCCTCGCTTCCCTGGCTCCTCATGACTTCGCAATCCCGGGTGCACAACACTATGACTAACGAATACGAACGGGAGTACATGATTGCGCATTTAGCAGGCGC